ACGACGCCGAGGTCGAGCGCTTGACCTGCGAGGAGGAGGAGGAGAAGATGTTCGGGCGCGGGTCGCGGCACCGCAAGGAGGTCGATTACAGCGACTCGCTGACGGAGAAGCAGTGGCTCAAGGTATACATGGTACAGCATCGTTCTGCAACGCCTTCGCGCCGCCACGGCAACCCCGGCACCGGGGACCTCACCAAAACACAGCCTGGCAAACACTGTGGTGCTGCGGCACGGGGCTGGGCCATAGCCAGGGATGTGGCTGGGGCATAGCCAGGGATGGGGTTGTGCCATAGCCAGGCGTGGAGCTGTGTGCCATAGCCAGGCATGGGGCTGTGTGCCATAGCCAGGTGTGGAGCTGTGTGCCATAGCCAGGCATGGATCTGTGCCATAGCCAGGCATGGGGCTGTGTGCCATAGCCAGGGATGGATCTGTGCCATAGCCAGGGATGGATCTGTGCCATAGCCAGGCGTGGAGCTGTGTGCCATAGCCGGGCATGGATCTGTGCCATAGCCGGGCATGGGGCTGTTCCATAGCCAGGCATGGGGCTGTTCCATAGCCAGGCATGGGGCTGTGTGCCATAGCCAGGGATGGGGCTGTGTGCCATAGCCGGGCATGGGGCTGTTCCATAGCCAGGCATGGGGCTGTGTGCCATAGCCAGGGATGGGGCTGTGTGCCATAGCCAGGCATGGGGCTGTGTGCCATAGCCGGGCATGGATCTGTGCCATAGCCAGGCATGGGGCTGTTCCATAGCCAGGCATGGGGCTGTGTGCCATAGCCAGGGATGGGGCTGTGCCATAGCCAGGCATGGGGCTGTGTGCCATAGCCAGGCATGGGGCTGTGTGCCATAGCCGGGCATGGATCTGTGCCATAGCCAGGCATGGAGCTGTGCCATAGGCAGGCATGGGGCTGTGTGCCATAGCCGGGTATGGATCTGTGCCATAGCCAGGCATGGAGCTGTGCCATAGCCAGGCATGGGGCTGTGTGCCATAGCCAGGCGTGGAGCTGTGTGCCATAGCCAGGTGTGGAGCTGTGTGCCATAGGCAGGTATGGAGCTGTGTGCCATAGCCAGGCGTGGAGCTGTGTGCCATAGCCAGGCATGGGGCTGTGTGCCATAGCCGGGCATGGAGCTGTGTGCCATAGCCAGGCATGGGGCTGTGTGCCATAGCCAGGCATGGAGCTGTTTGCCATAGCCAGGCCTGGGGCTGTGCCATAGCCAGGCCTGGGGCTGTGTGCCATAGCCAGGCGTGGAGCTGTGTGCCATAGCCAGGCGTGGAGCTGTGTGCCATAGGCAGGCATGGGGCTGTGTGCCATAGCCGGGCATGGAGCTGTGTGCCATAGCCAGGCCTGGGGCTGTGCCATAGCCAGGGCAGTGACCGCAGCCGGCGTGGTTGTGCCGGGCTGGGGGGGGAGCTCGTCGGCAGCCCCGCGCTAGCGGCCCCGTCCCGCGCAGGCCATCGAGGAGGGGACGCTGGAGGAGATCGAGGAGGAAGTTCGCCAGAAGAAATCCTCCCGGAAGCGGAAGCGGGACCCGGACGTGGGCCCCAGCACCGGCACCGCCGGCAGCGCCGGCACCGCCAGCACCCGCAGCCGCGACAAGGACGAGGAGAGCAAGAAGCAGAAGAAGCGCGGGCGGCCGCCGGCGGAGAAGCTCTCGCCGAACCCCCCCAACCTCACCAAGAAGATGAAGAAGATCGTGGACGCCGTCATCAAGTACAAGGACAGGTAGGGAGGCACCGGGGGGCTCGGCGCCGGGGCCGGTGCCGGCGGTGCCACGCGGTGTCTCTTTGCAGCAGCAGTGGACGGCAGCTCAGTGAGGTCTTCATCCAGCTGCCGTCCCGCAAGGAGCTGCCCGAGTACTACGAGCTCATCCGCAAGCCCGTGGACTTCAAGAAGATCAAGGTAACGGCGGCACCGCGCCGGCGCCTGGGCGCCAATGGATGCGGCCGGGGTGACTGTGTTGGGTGCTGGTGAACCACGGCGTTGGGTTGTGCCCATTGCTGTTGAGTCGTGCCGATTGGCATTGGATTGTGCCCATTGTGGTTGGGTTGTGTCCATTGCCATTGGGTTGTGTCCATTGCCATTGGATTGTGCCCATTGCCATTGGGTTGTGTCCATTGGCATTGGGTTGTGTCCATTGGCATTGGGTTGTGCCCATTGCCGTTGGGTTGTGTCCATTGTGGTTGGGTTGTGTTCATTGCCATTGGGTTGTGCCCATTGTGGTTGGGTTGTGTTCATTGCCATTGGGTTGTGCCCATTGCCGTTGGGTTGTGTCCATTGTGGTTGGGTTGTGTTCATTGCCATTGGGTTGTGTTCATTGCCATTGGGTTGTGCCCATTGCCGTTGGGTTGTGTCCATTGGCATTGGGTTGTGCCCATTGTGGTTGGGTTGTGCCCGTTGCCATTGGGTTGCCCCCATTGCCGTTGGGTTGCCCCCATTGCCATTGGGCTGCCCCCATTGCCCTTGGGTTGTGCCCATTGAGGTTGGGTTGCCCCCATTGCCGTTGGCTTGCCCCTATTGCCGTTGGGTTGCCCCCATTGGCACTGGCCAAGATCCCGACCCCTTCCCCTGCGGCAGGAGCGGATCCGCAACCACAAGTACCGGAGCCTCAACGACCTGGAGAAGGACGTGATGCTGCTGTGCCAGAACGCGCAGACCTTCAACCTCGAGGGCTCCCTCGTGAGTTGGGGTGGTGATGGTGGGGGGGGAACGGGGACCCTGCCCGACACCGGCACCGGCACCGGCACCACCGCGGCTGCACCGGCTCCATCGCCTTCGCCCCCCCCAGATCTACGAGGACTCCATCGTGCTGCAGTCGGTGTTCACCAGCGTGCGCCAGAAGATCGAGAAGGAGGAGGAGAGCGACGGCGACGACAGCGACGAGGAGGAGGAGGGCGAGGAGGAAGGCTCCGAGTCCGAGTGTGAGTGCTCCAATGGGGACACCCCAGCCCCCCCCCCCATCCCCATCCCCATCCTCATCCTCACCCTGCGCCCGCAGCGCGCTCGGTGAAGGTGAAGATCAAGCTGGGCCGCAAGGAGAAGGCGCCGGAGCGCGGCAAAGGCCGGCGGCGCACGAGCCGCAGCGCCCGCGCCAAGCCCGTGGTGAGCGACGACGACAGCGACGAGGAGCAGGAGGAGGTAAAGGAGACCCACAACGGCCTCCTGCCCCATGACCAACTCCTGCCCCATAACCACCTCCTGCCCCATAACCACCTCCTGCCCCATAACCACATCCTCCTGCTCCACAACTGCCTCCTGCCCCATAACCAACTCCTGCCCCACAACCACCTCCTGCCCCATGACCAACTCCTGCCCCATAACCACCTCCTGCCCCATGACCACCTCCTGCCCCATAACCACCTCCTGCCCCATGACCAACTCCTGCCCCACAACCCCCTCCTGCCCCATGACCAACTCCTGCCCCATAACCACCTCCTGCCCCATGACCAACTCCTGCCCCATGACCACCTCCTGCCCCATAACCACCTCCTGCCCCATGACCAACTCCTGCCCCATAACCACCTCCTGCCCCATGACCAACTCCTGCCCCACAACCCCCTCCTGCCCCATGACCAACTCCTGCCCCATAACCACCTCCTGCCCCACAACCCCCTCCTGCCCCATGACCAACTCCTGCCCCACAACCCCCTCCTGCCCCATGACCAACTCCTGCCCCATGACCAACTCCTGCCCCATAACCACCTCCTGCCCCATAACCACATCCTCCTGCCCCACAACTGCCTCCTGCCCCATAACCAACTCCTGCCCCACAACCCCCTCCTGCCCCATGACCAACTCCTGCCCCATAACCGACTCCTGCCCCATAACCACATCCTCCTGCCCCACACCCTCCTCCTGCCCCACAACCGCCTCCTGCCCCACACCCTCCTCCTGCCCCACAACCGCCTCCTGCCCCACACCCTCTTCCTGCCCCACAACCCCCCGCCATCCCCATCACTGACCCCCCCTTCCCACAGGATCGCTCCGGCAGCGGCACCGATGAGGACTGAGGCCCCCCCCGGCAGAGCCTGGACCCACATTCCACGGCCCCGGCGCCATCCATGTCCTGTGCCCCCCCCCGCCCCCCAACTCCTCAGCCCCACATCCCCCCCCCCCCGCAGCTGCGCCCTGTATAAAACCTCCATATTTATACAGCCGAGTGCCCCCCCATGGTGCCCCCCCCATGGTGCCCCCCCTCCATGGTGACCCCCCCCGGGTGCCCCCCCCATGGTCCGCCCCCCCCCCCGCCGGCGCCTGTCGCTGTCACTGGATTTCAAGCAGTAATAAAGGAAGTGAAGAGGAAATCAATGCAATTGATGGGGCTGGGGGGGGGGCTTGGGGGGGCTCTATGGGTTCTCTATGGGGTTTCTATGGGAGCTCAATGGGGGCTCTATGGGGTCTCAATGAGGCTCAATGGGGCTCAATGAGGTCTCAGTGTGGCTGTATGGGGTCTCAATGGGGTCTCAATGGGGCTCTGGGGTCTCTGTGGCTGTATGGGGTCTCAATGGGGTCTCAATGGGGCTCTATGGGGTCTCAATGTGGCTGTATGGGGTCTCAATGGGGTCTCAATGGGGACTCAATGTGGCTGTATGGGGTCTCAATGGGGCTCAATGGGGTCTCAGTGTGGCTGTATGGGGTCTCAATGGGGCTCTGGGGCTCTATGGGGCTCTATGGGGTCTCAATGTGGCTGTATGGGGTCTCAATGGGGTCTCAATGGGGTCTCAATGAGGTCTCAATGGGGCTCTATGAGGGCGCTGGGGGGGGGTCTTTGAGTCCGGACGTGTCCGGTGGCTGCGGGGGTCGGGGTGTGTGGGGGGCGGAGTCAGTTCTGTGTCTCCGCCCGGCCACGCCCCCCCCGTGACGTGTTCCCGTTTGAAATCACCCCACGCGAGGCCCCGCCCCCCCGGCGCTGCCCTTGAAATGGGAGCGGAGCCGCGATCGCGATCGTGATCCCGGTCCCGATCCCGGTCCCGATCCCGGTCCCGGAGCCTGGGATCCCCCGGGATGGGGCCCGCGCTGCTGCGGCTGCTCCTGCTCGGGACGGCGGCGGCGGCGGCACCGGGAGGAGGTAACGGAGGGCGGGGGGGGAGCGGGACCGGGACCGGGGATGGGGAATGGGGGGGGGGAAACGGGGGCATCCGGACCCACCGGGGCTCAGCCCCTCCCCCCCAACACCTGCGGAGGGGAGGGGGGAGGGGGGAACCGGCGCCGTTCACCGGGACCCCCCCCCCCATGGTGGCGGGCGGAGGGCGGGGCTGGTGGGCGGGGTTAAGGAAGCGCGGTCCTGCCCCCCCCTCCCATCGCGGGGCCGCCAAGAGCCAATCACGGCCCGCGCAATGCCCCGCCCTGCGGCGGACGCGCTTTTGATTGGCGGGAGCGCGGACTGGCCACCCGGCGGGGAAACGCCCCGCTGGCCAATGAGAGAGCGGCGCGCCCGGCAGGGAGAGGGGTGGCCACGCCCAGCGGGGGCTGCGGGTGGGGCCGGGAGCGGGAATGGGGCTGGGAACCCCTGGAATGGGGCTGGAAAACCCGGAAATGGGGCTGGAAAATGGGAATGGGGCTGGAAAACCTGGGAATGGGGCTGGAAAACCTGGGAATGGGGCTGGAAAACCGGGAATGGGGCTGGAAAACCTGGGAATGGGGCTGGAAAACTGGGAATGAGGCTGAAAAACCTGGGAATGGGGCTGGAAAACCGGGAATGGGGATGAAAAACTGGGAATGGGGCTGGAAAAATGGGAATGGGTTGGAAAACTGGGAATGTGGCTGGAAAACCTGGGAATGAGGCTGAAAAACCTGGGAAGGGGGCTGGAAAACCGGGAATGGGGATGAAAAATTGTAAATGGGGCAGAAAACCTGGGAATGGGACTAAAAATACCGGGAATGGGGCTGGAAAACCGGGAATGGGAAGCAGGGCCCAGCTCTATCCCCGGGCCCCACCCTGGTTCCAGGTCAGGGTCAGGGGGAGCAAAGGTCGGCCCGGGTCATCCGGTCACCCCCAGCCCCTCCCATGGCAAAGCCCCGGTACCGGGGGGGAGGGGCTTTGCTGTGACCACGCCTCCCGCAGGCCCCGCCCAGTGCGGGGGGGGGCAGTTCCAGTGCGGGGACGGCGCCTGCATCCCCAGGGCCTGGGTCTGCGACGGCAGCGCCGAGTGCAGGGATGGGGCCGATGAGAGCGAGGAGAGCTGCAGTGAGTGCAGGGGGTCACGTGGGGGGTCACGTGGGGTGGGGGTGTGTCACGTGGGGGTGTGTCACCTGTGTGCCACCTGTGTGCTATGTGCCATGTGTGCTATGTGTGTGTCGTGTGTGTGTGCTGTATGTCACGTGTGTGTCACGTGTGCTGTGTCACGTGTGTGCTATGTGTGTGTCACGTGTGTCATGCGCGTGTCCTCTGTGTCATGTGTATTACATGTGTCGTATGTGTTGTGTGTGTCGTGTGTCACGTGTGTGTCATGTGTGCTATGTGTTGTGTCAGGTGTGTGTCAGCTGTGGGTCATGAGTGCGTCATGTGTGTGCTATGTGCCGTGTATGTGTCATGTGTCCCATGTGTCCCATGCATGTCCTGTGTCCCGTGTGTGTCCCATGAGTGTCCCATGCGTGTCCCATGCGTGTCCCATGCGTGTCCCATGCATGTCCCATGCGTGTCCCGTGTGTGTCCCATGCATGTCCCATGCGTGTCCCGTGTGTGTCCCATGCGTGTCCCATGTGTGCCCTGCGCTTGTGCCTGTCCCAGGCTCCGTGTCCTGCTCCCCATCCGAGTTCCCCTGCGGGGGGCTCCGGGGCCGCTGCGTTCCCCTGCTCTGGCGCTGCGATGGGCACCGCGACTGCGAGGACGGCTCCGACGAGCTGCAGTGCCGTGAGTGCCCCACAGCCCCCACAGCACCCATAGCCCCCATAGACCCCATACCCCATAGCCCCTATAGCACCCATAGCCCCCATAGCCCCCATACCCCATAGCCCCTATAGCACCCATAGCCCCCATAGAGCCACCTAGCACAGCCCCATAGTACCCCATACCCCATAGCCCCACCACACCCATAGCCCCCATAGCCCCATACCCCCCATAGCCCCATAGCCCCCATAGCCCCCATACCCCCCATACCCCCCATAGACCCCATAGCCCCCATAGCCCCCATACCCCCCATACCCCCCATAGCCCCCATACCCCCCCATAGCTCCCCATAGCCTCCCATAGCCCCCATACCCCCCATTGCTCCCTATAACCCCCATAGCCCCCATATCTCCCATGGCCCACATTGCTCCCCACAGCCTCCCATAGCCCTCATCTCCCCCATCCCCCCCATTTCCCATCCCCCCCTTCCCCCCTCGTGCCCCCCCATTGACCCACCCCCCATCCCCCCCATCCCCCCCCCCCATTGACTCCCCCTTTTCCCCTCCCCCCCCCAGCCCCCCGTTCCTGCCCCCCGGATCAGCTCCGTTGCGGGAGCGGCTCCTGCATCTCCCGCGCCTTCGCCTGCGACGGGGACCGGGACTGCGAGGACGGCGCGGACGAGGCCGGGTGCCCCCCAGCGCCCCCTTGCGGCGCCGCCGCCTTCCGCTGCCCCGACGGCTCCTGCGTGCCCCGGCTCTGGGCCTGCGACGGGGACCGGGACTGCCCCGACGGCGCGGACGAGGCGGCCCCGAGCTGCGGCCCCCCCCGCGCCCCCCGCGCCTGCCCCCCCCTGCAGCTGCGCTGCGGCTCCGGCCGCTGCCTCCCCCGGCGCTGGCGCTGCGACGGCACCGAGGACTGCGCCGACGGCAGCGACGAGAGGGGATGCGGTGAGAGCCGAGCCCATAGAGAGCCATAGAGAGCCATAGAGAGCCATAGAGACCCCATAGAGACCCCATAGAGACCCCATAGAGACACATAGAGACCCATAGAGACACATAGAGACCCCATAGAGACCCCATAGAGACCCATAGAGACACATAGAGACCCATGGAGACCCCATAGAGACCCATAGAGACCCATAGAGACCCCATAGAGACCCATAGAGACACATAGAGACCCATGGAGACCCCATAGAGACCCATAGAGACCCATAGAGACCCCATAGAGACCCCATAGAGACCCCATAGAGACACATAGAGACCCATAGAGACACATAGAGACTCATAGAGACACATAGAGACTCATAGAGACCCATAGAGACCCATAGAGACCCTAGGGGACCCCATAGAGACCCATCTACGCCCCATAGAGACCCTGGGGGACCCCATAGAGCACCCTGGGGGACCCCATAGAGAACCCTGGGGGACCCCATGGAGAACCCTGGGGACCCCATAGAGACCCATCTGCGCCCCATAGAGCACCCTGGGGGACCGCATCTGTGCCCCATAGAGACGCTGCACCCCATTGAGCCCCCTGCACCCCATTTATACCTATTAGCACCCCATTGATCCCATCTGCACCCCATTGACTCCCCTGCACCCTATTGATCCCTATCTTCACCCCATTGACCCCCATAAGCACCCCAATTCCTCCGTGTCCCCCCCCCCAATCCCTGCTGCACCTTGGGGTGCAGGTTGCGGGGGATCCCCTATGGGGTGCAGCTCACTTGGGGGGCACCGGCCTGCTCTGACCCCCATCCCCCTCCAGCCCCCGCCTTGTGCCCCCCGGAGCAGTTCAGCTGCGGGGACGGGCGCTGCGTGCCGGGGCTGCGGCGCTGCGATGGCACCGAGGACTGCGCCGACGGCAGCGACGAGGCCGAGTGCGGCAACGGTGAGAGCAGTGGGGCAGCCCCATAGTGGGGGGGGGGTCCCATAGGGGGCAGGGGGTCTGACACCCCCTATGTGTGTGTGAGCATCCATGCATCCATCCATGCATCCATCCATGCATCCCTGCATCCATCCCTGCATCCATCCCTGCATCCATCCCTGCATCCATCCCTGCATCCATCCCTGCATCCCTGCATCCATCCATGCATCCTGTTTGTTTGTTTGTTTATCCCTGCATCCATCCATGCATCCCTGCATCCATCCCTGCATCCATCCATGCATCCCTGCATCCATCCCTGCATCCATCCCTGCATCCATCCCTGCATCCATCCCTGCATCCCTGCATCCATCCCTGCATCCATCCATGCATCCATCCATGCATCCATCCATGCATCCATCCATGCATCCCTGCATCCATCCCTGCATCCATCCCTGCATCCATCCCTGCATCCATCCCTGCATCCCTGCATCCATCCCTGCATCCATCCATGCATCCATCCATGCATCCATCCATGCATCCATCCATGCATCCCTGCATCCATCCCTGCATCCATCCCTGCATCCATCCCTGCATCCATCCCTGCATCCCTGCATCCATCCCTGCATCCATCCATGCATCCATCCATGCATCCATCCATGCATCCATCCATGCATCCCTGCATCCATCCATGCATCCATCCCTGCATCCATCCCTGCATCCCTGCATCCATCCATGCATCCATCCGTGCATCCATCCATGCATCCCTGCATCCATCCATGCATCCATCCGTGCATCCATCCATGCATCCCTGCATCCATCCCTGCATCCATCCCCAGTGACCGCCTGCGCCGGGTTCCGGTGCCGCTCCGGTGAATGCATCCCCATGGAGCGCGTCTGCGACCGGCGCCGCGACTGCCGGGATTGGTCGGATGAGCCTCTCAAGGAGTGCGGTAAGGATGGACCCCCACCTCCAATGGGGAATGGGCTTGGGGGTGTCCCCCCCCACCCCTCAATTTGGGCTCCGTTGTCCCCATAGGGGTCAATGAGTGCCTGGATGGCAACGGGGGCTGCTCCCACGTGTGCCGGGACTTGCCCCTTGGCTACGAGTGCCGGTGCCCCGATGGCTTCCGGCTGGGCCCCGATGGACGGAGCTGCCTCGGTGGGTGCTGACCCCCCCCTTTCCCCATAGAACCCCATTATGGGACCCCCCCCATCCATAGGACCCCATTAGGGTCAGGGTTAGGTGGGTGCTGCCTCCCCCTTTTCCCCATAGAACCCCATTATGGGACCCACCCCATCCATGGGACCCCATGTGCTGCCCCTGACCCCCATTGTGTCCCCCCCCCCCACAGACATTGATGAGTGCCAGGACCCCACCACCTGCAGCCAACGGTGCCAGAACCTCCCGGGCTCCTTCAAGTGCGGCTGCGGGGAGGGGTACAGGCTGGAGCCCAGCACCAACGCCTGCCGTGCACTCGGTGAGTCCCGGACCCCCCCTCTGAGCCCCTCACCCCGCGTCTGGTGATGGGGAGGGTCCATGGGGGGGGGGGGGATGCTGCGGTTCAATGTGTGTCTATGGGGCGGATGCTGCAGTTCCCGTTGTGTCCACGGGGCGGCGCTGCAGTTCCATGTGCCCATGTTGGACGCTGCAGTTCCCGCTGTGTCCACGGGGCGGCGCTGCGGTTCAATGTGTGTCTATGGGGGGCGCTGCAGTTCCCGCTGTGTCCACGGGGCGGCGCTGCGGTTCAATGTGTGTCTATGGGAGACGCTGCAGTTCCCGCTGTGTCCACGGGGCGGCGCTGCGGTTCAATGTGTGCCCATATTGGACGCTGCAGTTCCCGCTGTGTCCACGGGGCGGCGCTGCGGTTCAATGCGTGTTTACGGGGACGCTGCAGTTCCCGCTGTGTCCACGGGGCGGCGCTGCGGTTCAACGTGTGTCTATGGGTTGCGCTGTAGTTCCCGCTGTGTCCACGAGGCGGCGCTGCGGTTCAATGCGTGTTTATGGGGCGCTGCAGTTCCCGCTGTGTCCACGGTGCGGCGCTGCGGTTCAATGTGTGTCTATGTTGGGCGCTGCAGTTCCCGCTGTGTCCACGGGGCGGCGCTGCGGTTCAATGTGTGTCCATGTTGGGCGCTGCAGTTCCCGCTGTGTCCACGGGGCGGCGCTGCGGTTCAATGTGTGTCCATGTTGGGCGCTGCAGTTCCCGCTGTGTCCACGGGGCGGCGCTGCGGTTCAATGTGTGTCCATGGGGCGCTGCAGTTCCCGCTGTGTCCACGGGGCGGCGCTGCGGTTCAATGTGTGTCCATGTTGCGCTGCAGTTCCCGCTGTGTCCACGGGGCGGCGCTGCGGTTCAATGTGTGTCCATGGGGCGCTGCAGTTCCCGCTGTGTCCACAGGGCGGCGCTGCGGTTCAATGTGTGCCCATGTTGGACGCTGCAGTTCCCGCTGTGTCCACGGGGCGGCGCTGCGGTTCAATGTGTGTCCATGTTGGGCGCTGCAGTTCCCGCTGTGTCCACGGGGCGGCGCTGCGGTTCAATGTGTGTCTATGGGGCGCTGCAGTTCCCGCTGTGTCCACGGGGCGGCGCTGCGGTTCAATGTGTGTCCATGTTGGGCGCTGCAGTTCCCGCTGTGTCCACGGGGCGGCGCTGCGGTTCAATGTGTGTCCATGTTGGGCGCTGCAGTTCCCGCTGTGTCCACGGGGCGGCGCTGCGGTTCAATGTGTGTCCATGTTGGGCGCTGCAGTTCCCGCTGTGTCCACGGGGCGGCGCTGCGGTTCAATGTGTGTTTATGGGGCGCTGCAGTTCCCGCTGTGTCCACGGGGCGGCGCTGCGGTTCAATGTGTGTCCATGTTGGGCGCTGCAGTTCCCGCTGTGTCCACGGGGCGGCGCTGCGGTTCAATGTGTGTTTATGGGGCGCTGCAGTTCCCGCTGTGTCCACGGGGCGGCGCTGCGGTTCAATGTGTGTGTTTATGGGGCGCTGCACTTCCCGCTGTGTCCAGAGGGCGGCGCTGCGGTTCAATGTGTGTTTATGGGGCGCTGCAGTTCCCCCTGTGTCCAGAGGGCGGCGCTGCGGTTCAATGCGTGTTTATGGGGCGCTGCAGTTCCCGCTGTGTCCACGGTGCGGCGCTGCGGTTCAATGTGTGTCTATGGGTTGCGCTGTAGTTCCCGCTGTGTCCACGGGGCGGCGCTGCGGTTCAATGTGTGTCCATGTTGGGCGCTGCAGTTCCCGCTGTGTCCACGGGGCGGCGCTGCGGTTCAATGTGTGTCCATGTTGGGCGCTGCAGTTCCCGCTGTGTCCACGGGGCGGCGCTGCGGTTCAATGTGTGTCCATGTTGGGCGCTGCAGTTCCCGCTGTGTCCACGGGGCGGCGCTGCGGTTCAATGTGTGTCTATGGGGGTGCAGCCGCTGTTCGGGGCGGCGTCTTATGTGTGTGGGCCATGTTGGGCGCTGCAGTTCCCGCTGTGTCCACGGGGCGGCGCTGCGGTTCAATGTGTGTCTATGGGGCGCTGCAGTTCCCGCTGTGTCCACGGGGCGGCGCTGCGGTTCAATGTGTGTTTATGGGGCGCTGCAGTTCCCGCTGTGTCCACGGGGCGGCGCTGCGGTTCAATGTGTGTCCATGGGGCGCTGCAGTTCCCGCTGTGTCCACGGGGCGGCGCTGCGGTTCAATGTGTGTTTATGGGGCGCTGCAGTTCCCGCTGTGTCCACGGGGCGGCGCTGCGGTTCAATGTGTGTCCATGTTGGGCGCTGCAGTTCCCGCTGTGTCCACGGTGCGGCGCTGCGGTTCAATGTGTGTCCATGGGGCGCTGCAGTTCCCGCTGTGTCCACGGTGCGGCGCTGCGGTTCAATGTGTGTTTATGGGGCGCTGCAGTTCCCGCTGTGTCCACGGGGCGGCGCTGCGGTTCAATGTGTGTATGGGGTGGTTGTGTGTGGGGGGTGGGTTCAATGTGTGTCTATGGGGCGCTGCAGTTCCCGCTGTGTCCACGGGGCGGCGCTGCGGTTCAATGTGTGTTTATGGGGCGCTGCAGTTCCCGCTGTGTCCACGGGGCGGCGCTGCGGTTCAATGTGTGTTTATGGGGCGCTGCAGTTCCCGCTGTGTCCACGGGGCGGCGCTGCGGTTCAATGTGTGTCCATGTTGGGCGCTGCATTTCCCGCTGTGTCCACGGGGCGGCGCTGCGGTTCAATGTGTGTCCATGTTGGACGCTGCAGTTCCCGTTGTGTCCACGGGGCGGCGCAGCTCACGCCCGGTTCCCGCAGGGCCGCCCCCGGCGCTGCTGTTCTCGTTGCGCCACGAACTGCGGGAGGTGGCGCTGGACGGGGCCCGGTACCGGCGGCTCCTGGGGCCGCTCAAGCACCTCGGGGCGCTGGACGTGCACGTGGGCAACGGCTCCGTGTTCTGGGCCGACCTCAGCCGGGGACGGATCTTCCGGTGAGCGACCCCCGGGGCCGTGCCCCAGCCCCAGCCCCAGCCCCAGCTCCATCCCATGCGATCCCACTGCCTCCTGTCCTGTTCTTATCCCCATCCCATTCCCATCCCCATCCCCGTCCCCATCCCCATTCCCATCCCCATCCCATTCCCATCCCAATGCCATCCCCATTCTATGCCGTTCTCATCCCATCCCATCTGATCCCACTGAATCCCATCCCCATCCCATCCCCATCACCATACCAAACCCATCCCCATCCCTATCAAACTCTATCCCCATCCCAATCAAACTCCATCCCCCTCCCCATCCCAACGCCACCCCATCCTAATCCCTATCCCATCCCCATCCCTATCCCATCCCCATCCCATCCCAATCCCACCCATTCCCTCCCGCAGGTCTCCACTCTCCACCACAGCCGATGCCCCCCAGCAGGTCCCGGTGCTGGAGCTGGGCTCAGGGACCCCGGACTCCATTGCCCTGGACTGGCTCCATCACCTCCTTTACTGGACCGACCCCGTGCTCGGGGCCGTGGCCGTGGCAGACGCCGGCGGTGCCTGGAGCCGGACGCTGCTGCGGGAGGAGGGAGCCAAACCCTGCGGCATCGCCCTGGACCCGCTGCAGGGGTACGGGGGGGGCAATGGGGGGGGGGCAGATGGGGAGGGGGCCATGGGGGGATGGGGGTGACAGCTCTGCCCCGTCCCCCCCCAGTTTCCTGTACTGGACGGACTGGGGAGCCAGCCCCAAGATCGCCCGGAGCCGCCTCGATGGCTCTGATGTGGTGACGCTGGTGACCGAGGATGTGGAGTGGCCAAATGGGATCACCCTGGGTGAGCTCTGGGGGTGCCTGGGTCCCATCCCTGTCTGTACCCGTCCCTATTCCCATCCCTTCCCTATCCTCATCCCATCCCATCCCCAAGCCATCCCTATCCCCATCCCCATCCCATCCCATCCCATCCCCATCCCCATCCCCATCCCCATCCCATCCCATCCCATCCCATCCCATCCCATCCCATCCCCATCCCATCCCATCCCCATCCCATCCCCATCCCATCCCATCCCATCCCCATCCCATCCCATCCCATCCCCATCCCATCCCCATCCCCATCCCATCCCATCCCATCCCCATCCCATCCCATCCCATCCCCATCCCCATCCCATCCCCATCCCATCCCATCCCATCCATCCCATCCCCATCCCATCCCATCCCCATCCCCATCCCATCCCCATCCCATCCCCATCCCATCCCATCCCATCCCCATCCCCCATCCCCATCCCATCCATCCCCATCCCATCCCCATCCCATCCCATCCCATCCCATCCCATCCCATCCCATCCCCATCCCATCCCCATCCCATCCCTCTCCCATCTCTGCCCCAGATCTGCCCTCCCAGCGCCTGTTCTGGGTGGACGCTCGGCTCCATGCGCTCTCCAGTGTGGACGTGGACGGGGGCCGGCGCCGGACGCTGCTCAGGGACCCTGCGGTGCTGGTGCAGCCGTTCGCCATCACCGTGTTCGAGGTGAGCGCCCCCGGGCCCTCCAGGGTCCCCCTTCCTATTCCCCATCCCCATCCCCATCCCCATCCCCATCCCCATCCCATCCCCATCCCATCCCCATCCCCATCCCATCCCCATCCCATCCCCATCCCCATCCCATCCCCATCCCATCCCCATCCCATCCCATCCCCATCCCCATCCCATCCCATCCCCATCCCATCCCCATCCCCATCCCCATCCCATCCCATCCCCATCCCATCCCCATCCCCATCCCCATCCCCATCCATCCCCACCCCATCCCCATCCCCATCCCCATCCCATCCCCATCCCCATCCCCACCCCATCCCCATCCCATCCCCATCCCCACCCCATCCCCATCCCATCCCCATCCCATCCCCATCCCCATCCCCATCCCCATCCCCATCCCCATCCCCATCCCATCCCCATCCCCATCCCCATCCCCATCCCCATCCCCATCCCATCCCCATCCCATCCCCATCCCCACCCCATCCCCATCCCACCCCATCCCCATCCCATCCCCATCCCCATCCCCATCCCATCCCATCCCCACCCCATCCCCACCCATCCCCATCCCATCCCCATCCCATCCCCATCCCCATCCCCATCCCATCCCATCCCCATCCCATCCCCATCCCCATCCCCATCCCATCCCCATCCCCACCCCATCCCCATCCCATCCCCATCCCATCCCCATCCCCATCCCCATCCCCATCCCCACCCCATCCCATCCCCATCCCCATCCCCATCCCCATCCCATCCCATCCCCATCCCCATCCCCATCCCATCCCCATCCCCATCCCATCCCCATCCCCATCCCATCCCCATCCCCATCCCATCCCATTCCCATTCCCATAGGACCGGATTTACTGGAGCGATTCCCAGCTCGGGGCCGTGTTCGGGCTCGGGCTCCACTCGGAGCCGGGGCCGCAGCGGCTGCTCCAGGAGCGGTTCCCGGTGCAGGGATTGGTGCTGGTGCATCCCCTGCGGCAGCCCACAGGTACCATGGCACAGCCGTGCCCTTCCCGTGTCCATCCCATGATGTCCTTCCCATGTCCATCTGTGTCCTTCCCGTGTCCATCCCATGATGTCCATCCCGTGTCCATCCCGTGTCCTTCCCATGTCCTTCCCATGTCCATCCCGTGTCCATCTGTGTCCTTCCCATGTCCATCCCGTGTCCATCCCGTGTCCTTCCCATGTCCATCCCATGTCCATCCGTGTCAATCCCGTGTCCATCCCTGTCCATCCCCTGTGTCCGTGTCCCTGTTTCCATCCCATCCCCATTCCCTCATCCCCCTTCTCCCTCCTCACCCCTGTTCCCCCCCTGCAGCCCCCTTGCCCCCCCTGGACGTGGTCCTCCCACAGCCCCCCCCCAGTGCCCATGAGGGGGGCCCGGAGCCCACACCCAGCGCTGAGACCCCCGGGACCCCCAACAGCACCGGCACATCCGGCAACGCCACCGCAGGTACCAGCCCCATAGCCCGGCCCCATAACCCAGCCCCATAACCCAGCCCTATAGCCCAGCCCCATAACCCAGCCCCATAGCCCGGCCCCATAGCCTGGCCACATAACCCAGCCCCATACCCGGCCCCATAACCCAGCCCCATAACCCAGCCCCATAGCCCGGCCCCATAGCCCGGCCACATAACCTAGCCCCATAACCCAGACCCATAGCCTGGTCACATAGCCCAGCCGCATAACCCAGCCCTATAGCTCAGCCCCATAGCCCAGCCTCATAGCCCTGCCCCATAGCCCTGCCCCATAGCACAGCCTCATAGCCCTGCCCCATAGCCCTGCCCCATAGCCCAGCCCCATAGCCCAGCCCCACACCCCCCCATGGGGCTCTTTCCTTCTCCCCAGGCAGCCGCGGCGGTGCCGTGGTTCCCGAGGGTCCCGGTGGCAGCAGAACGGCCTCGACGGTGCTCGCGGTGATGCTGCTGCTGGGTACGTGTGGGGGGGGGTCCCCATTGCCCCTTATGGGGGTGTCCCCATTGTCCCTTATTGGGGGGTCCCCATTGTCCCTTATGGGGGGGTCCCCATTGCCCCTTATGGGGGGGGCCCCATTGTCCCTTATGGGGGGGTCCCCATTGTCCCTTATGGGGGGTCCCCATTGCCCCTTATGGGGAGTCCCCATTGTCCCTTATGGGGGGTCCCCATTGTGTTTGTTGGGGGGGTTTGTTTTTTGTCCCTTATGGGGGTGTCCCCATTGCCCCTTATGGGGGGGGTCCCCATTGTCCCTTATGGGGGTGTCCCCATTGTCCCTTATGGGGGGGTCCCCATTGCCCCTTATGGGGGAGTCCCCATTGTCCCTTATGGGGGGTCCCCATTGCCCCTTATGGGGGAGTCCCCATTGTCCCTTATGGGGGAGTCCCCATTGTCCCTTATGGGGGGTCCCCATTGTCCCTATGGGGTTCCCCACGGGGTCCCGCTGACGCTGCCCCCCCGCAGGGGCCCTGGCTCTGCTCGGTGCCGGTGCCCGCGGGCTCTGGCGCTGGTGGCGGCACCGCAGCACCCGCAGCATCAGCTTCAGCAACCCCGTGTTCCGCAAGGGGGGGGGCCCAGGGGGGGACGAGGAGGAGGAGGAGCCCCTGGGGGTGCCCCGGGCCCCCTCGGTGAGCACCGGGGTCCTATGGGGCGGGGGGGCTCCAATGGGGGGCTATGGGGCGGGGGGGCTCCAATGGGGGGCTATGGGGTGGGGGGGCTCCAATGGGGGGCTGTGGGGCGGGGGGGATCCAATGGGGTCCTATGGGGATGAGGGGGGGCTCCAATGGGGGCTTATGGGGTAGGGGGTGGGGGTTCTGATAGGGTCCTATGGGGTTTGGGGGGGGCTCCAATGGCAGATTATGGGGCAGAAGGGGTCTCCTATGGGGGGTTATGGGGCAGAGAGGGTCTCCAATGTGGGATTATGGGGCAGGGGGGTCCTTATGGGGTCCTATGGGGCAGGGAGGGCTTCCTATGGGGGGTTATGGGGCAGAGGGTCTCCAATGGGGGGTTATGGGGCAGGAAGGGTCTCTAATGTCGGGTTATGGGGTGGGGGGGGGCCTTATGGGTTCCTATGGGGCAGGGAAGGCTTCCTATGGGGGGTTATGGGGCAGGGGGGCTCCAGTGGGGCCCTGACCCCCCCTGTGTCTCCCCCCAGGTGCTGGAGGATGGCGTGGCCTGAGCTTGGCACCGCGCAGTCACGCATGTGCGGGTCTCGACCCGCTCCTATGGGGTCACGTGGTTGGCTGTGGTCACGTGGTTGGCTGTGGTCACGTGGTTGGCTGTGGCTACACGTGGTTGTATGTTGTTGGCTGTGGTCACATGTGGTTGCGTGTGGTTGTATGTGGTCACATGTGGTTGGATGCAGTCAAATGTGGTTGGATGCGGTTGTGTTCATGTTTGTGTTTGTATGTGGTCACATGTGGCTGTATGTGGTTACGTGTGGTTTATATGTGGTCACATGTGGTTGTATGTGGTCACATGTGGCTGTATGTGGTTACGTGTGGTTTATATGTGGTCACATGTGGTTTATATGTGGTCACATGTGGTTGTATGTGGTCACATGTGGCTGTATGTGGTTACGTGTGGTTTATATGTGGTCACATGTGGTTTATATGTGGTCACGTGTGGTTTATATGTGGCCGTATGAGGTTGGATGCGGCCAGCCTGGACCACGCGTGTTCGAGCGTGATGCACGCCAGCACACGCAGCAGGTGCTGCTTTGAACCAAAAACTGTGAAACTGAACCCAAAACGTGGCCTTGGGGGGGGGGGCCTGTGGTGATGGAGCCCCCCCAGACCCAATACAGGGGTTATTTATTTCCCTCCCTTGTGCTGCCTCCTCCTTACCCCCCCCCCGACCCCCAAGTGCCCCCGGTTGTGGGTCCTGGTGTGGGTCAGTGCTTTATTGGGGGGGGCATACAAAAATGGGGGGGGGATGCAGGGTGATGACGTCACCGGGTGCTCTGTGACGTCACGAGGTTCTCGTATGACGTCACGCGATGTCACGCGGCGGCACCGCAGGGGGCTGGGGGTGGCTGGAAGGCACATGGAAGAGGTCACGTGATGCGCATGGGGAAGGTCACGTGACGCACATTGGGGGGGTCACGTGTCGCACACGCGTGTGGGGGTCTCACCCCTCCTCCGCCTCATGGTACTCGCTGTCATCGGAGGAGCTGGGGGGGGAAAGGGGGTGAGAGGACCCCAAACCTGCCCCATTCACCCCCAGGACCCCAAACCTGCCCCATCCCCCTCCCAGGACCCCAAACCTGTCCCATCCCCCCCCCAGGACCCCAAACCTGCCCCCCCACCTGCTGCTGCCCCCCCGGGGGGGGTCTCCATCACCATCGGCTCCATCGGTGTCACCCGGCGGCTCTGGGAGATGGGGCGGGGGGGTGAAGCTGGAGCCCCCCAGATCCCATATTCCCCATCCCCCATCCCGTGCCCATATCCCATGTTCTATGTCCCATGCCCCATATCTGTATCCATGCCCATATCCCATGTTCTATGTCCCATATCCTCTACCCCATGTCCCCTATCCCATATCCCCCATCCCCTATTCCCTATCCCATGTCCCCTATCCCCTATACCCCTACCCCATGTCCCCTTTCCCATATCCCCCATCCCCTATTCCCTATCCCATATCCCCCATCCCCTATCCCATATCCCTCATCCCCTATCCCATATCCCCCATCCCCTATCCCCTATCCCATATCCCCATACCCCCTATCCTGTGTCCCCCACCCCCTATCCCCTACCCCATGTCCCCTATCCCATATCCCCCATCCCCTATTCCCTATCCCATGTCCCCTATCCCCTATCCCGTATCCCCTATACCCATATCCCCTATCCCCTATCCCATCCCATATCCCCCTATCCCCTATCCCATATCCCCCTATCCCCTATCCCATATCCCCTATCCCCTATCCCCTATCCCCTCTCCCCCATCCCCCATCCCCTCTCCCATGTCCCTCTCACGCTGTCTCAGCCGGGCCCGGGCCTCCCGCAGCTCCTCCAGTGCCCGCTGCAGGCGCTGCTCCAGCTCCGCCACCCGGCCCGGCAGCGCCGCGGCCCCGTCCGTGCCCACGGCCACCGAGCGGCGGCCCTGCGGCAGCGCCAGCGCCCGACCGGGGCCGGGCCCGATCCCGGTGATGCCGGAGCTGATCCCGGTGCTGGGGATGGAGCCGGGGCTGATCCCGGTGATGCCGGAGCTGATCCCGGGGCTGGGGATGGAGCCGGGGCCGATCCCGGTGATGCCGGAGCTGATCCCGGTGCTGGGGATGGAGCCGGGGCTGTGGTGTGGGGTGGGGGGGTGTGGTGTGGGGTGTGGTGTGGGGTGGGGGGGCGATCCCGGTGATGCCGGAGCTGATCCCGGGGCTGGGGATGGAGCCGGGGCTGATCCCGGTGATGCCGGAGCTGATCCCGGTGCTGGGGATGGAGCCGGGGCTGATCCCGGTGTCAGGGATGGAGCTGGAGCTGATCTTGGTGCTGGTGATGGAGCCAGAGCCAATCCCGGTGCTGGCGATGCTGGAGCTGATCCTGGTGCTGGTGATGCTGGAGCCAATCCCAGTACCACCAATAGATCTGGTGATGCCAGAGCTGATCCCAGTGCTGCCACTGGATCCAGTGATGCTGGAGCCGATCCCGGTGTCAGGGATGGACCCGGTGATGTTGGAGCAGATCCTGGTGGTGCTGGAGCTGATCCCAGTGATGCTGGGGTCAATCCCGGTGATGCCGGAGCTGATCCCTGTGCCGCCACTGGATCCAGTGATGCTGGAGCCGATCCCGGTGTCAGGGATGGACCCGGTGATGCCGGAACTGATCCCGGTGATGCTCTGGTCAATCCCAGTGACACCGGAGCTGATCCCGGTGTTGCCGGAGCCAATCTTGGTGTTGCCGGGGTCGATCCCAGTGTTACCGGAGCCAATCCCAGTGATGCCAGGGTCAATCCCGCTGTTGCCGGCGCCGACCCCGGTGCCCGCGGTGCCTCCATCCCCATCCCCATCCCCACCCCCGTGGCCGCAGCCGCAGCCGCGCTGGCTCCGGAGCCGCTCCAGCAGCAGCCGCTTCTCCTCCTGGAGGCTCTGGAGGCGGCTCCGCAGCGCGGGCAGGGCCCGGACCTGCTCCTCCAGCTCCCGCAGCCGCGCCAGCGCCGCCGCCATCTGCGCCCGCACCCCCCGCAGCGCCGCCGCCGCCGCCGCCGCCTCCTCCTCGGGAGCCCCCCCCCAGGACCCGCGGTGCCGGGGCCGGAGCCCCGGGGGCCGCCGCAGCGTCAGCCCCTGCTCGATGGCCTCCACGTAGCCCAGGAAGCCCAGGTCCAGCCGGTACCCGTAGGGGGTCTCCAGCCAGTACCGCGCCTCCCCCGGCACCGCCGCTGCCAACGCTGGGCCCGACCGGCGCCGACCTGCGGGGAGAACCGTGACAGCGGCACCGGCACCGCAACGGGAGCCCCCATAGAGAGAACACCCATAGGGGAACCGGGACCCCCCATAGCGGGCTCCCCCCCATAGAGCAAATGGGACCCCCCCATAGGGGGGGGCGAAGGGGACCCCCATGGAAACCCATAGGGGAACCGGGACCCCCCATAGCGGGACCCCCTCATAGAGCAAATGGGACCCCCCCATAGGGGAACCGGGACCCCCCATAGCGGGACCCCCTCATAGAGCAAATGGGACCCCCCCATAGGGGAACCGGGACCCCCCATAGCGGGCTCCCCCCCATAGAGCAAATGGGACCCCCCCATAGGGGAACCGGGACCCCCCATAGCGGGACCCCCTCATAGAGCAAATGGGACCCCCCCATAGTGCAACTGGGACCAGCCTCACTGCAGGACCCCCCAATAGCAGGACCAGGACCAGCCCCACTGTGGGACACCCCATAGCAGGACCCCATATGGAAGAACCAGGACACCCCTATAGCAGGACCCCCATAGGGGAACCAGGACCAGCCCCACTGCAGGACCCACCATAGCAGGACCCCCCAATAGCAGGACCAGGACCAGCCCCACTGTGGGACCCCATATAGAGGAACCAGGACCCCCCTATAGCGGGACCCCTCCATAGAGCAACCAGGACCAGCCCCACTGCAGGACCCCCCATAGCGGGGCTCCGTATAGAGGAACTGGGACCCCTCCATAGCGGGACCCCCCATAGAGCAAGTGGGACTGGCCCCACTGTGGGACCCCCCCTATAGGGGAGCCCCCCATAGAGCAACCAGAACCCCGTCATAGAGCAAAGGGGACCCCGCCATAGCAGGACCCCCCACAGCGCACCCCCCCACATCCCAACCTGGGACCCCCCCCATAGCACAACTGCACCCCATCCCCAACAGGGCCCCTCATAGCACCAGGAATCAAACCCCCCCCCTTAATGCAGACCTAGCCCCCCCACTGACCTCAGCCCGCCCCCCCCCATCAGACCCACGGCTGCAGGGACCCCCCCACCCCTACCTGGGAACGTGTCCGCAGGCAGGACCTGAGCCATGGCCCCGGCCTGGGGGGGGGACGGACGGGGTCAGCACCAGGGCCCCCCCCATCACCCCCCCCCCGTGTCCAGCCCCATGGACACCGCCCCCCCCCCCCAGTTCCCCTTTTCCCGGCGGCCTCCGCCCATCCCCACCCCGGGACTTCGGGGTCCCCCCCCCCGGTATCGGGGTCCATGGGGGGGTCCCTGGGCCATGGGGCCGGGGTTGGGGGGGGCTCCCCCGATGCCTGTGCCCGTCCCCCAGTTCTCGTTCCCCCCCCATCGCCGCTGTTCCCCCTCCGGCGCCTCCTCGCCCGCAGATGGAACCAATTAAGGGGCGATGGCGGCTCCGGCTCCTCCGCCCCACAGCGGCCCCACGGCCCCATCGCGGCCCCACAACCCCCGGCCCCATTGCCCCACATCTGCCCTGTACCCCCGCTCCAGCCCCACATCTGGCTCCCCCCCCCCAGCCCCACAACCTCTGATCAGTGCCCATGGGGCCGGGGCTGGGGGTGCCTCCCCCCCACCCCCACGTGATCAGCGGCCCCGTGGGGCGGAACCGACCCCGGGACCCCCCGAGACCCCCAAACCCCCCCCCCGGTTCACCCTCGGGCGCTGCCGCCGCTCCGGTAACTCCCGCTCCGCTCCCGCGCTGGCCACGCCCCCGCTGACCAAGCCCCCTCTAACCACGCCCCCCGCAATCTCAGCCCTATCCCACAGAC